TTATATTTAGAATCAAATTAAAAGCTAAACAAATTTTTATATTAAGGACCGAAGGTAATACATATCAAACAAAAAATATATCTGAATTCCATATTGTACATGCTAAACATGTCTTTATAGCCAAATTATATTCTACTCCATTTGCAATTTCAATTCTGTTTCAAATTCTTTCAAAAGAAAAATTCCTATCACGCCAAACAGGAACTTCAGGAGTTTGGGATCACCGCGCGACATTATTTTTATGGTGAGAGATTGATTTAATTGACGGTTGAAGAGAATTCATTACTTACAAATTAAATAATTTTTTTCTGGGCATAAAGAATCTCTTATTAATCAGAGATAATTTTATTTCACGCATTGTCAAGCAGCTCTCCCACGAATACTATGTCATCAAAACAAGAATGTGGGCCTCATATTTTAGAGTCTCAGAATATGTTTAATAGGCTGTAAATTTATAATTACATATAGATAAATCAATTAGATGAAATTACTTGACCATCAATACTAAGTGTGTGTTTGTTTATCAAATATGTACTCCTTCAATCTTTAATATAAGACCCATTTAACTAATTTGATTATATTAAGGAAGTTAGATAAGTTGGTTAATTATAAGAAATGTAACATGCTTTTCCTAAAATACCATAATCATCTTTCTTAATACCCCATCTTCCTCTTCTACTTGATTGTGGTTGAAGGAGTATCTATAGGGGTAATTTAGAGAAAATTGATAAATATGAGAAATTGGTCTTATATTTAGAACCCAAACCAACTCAACAATTATCTCATATATTAAGGACTGAAAGAGTATTTAATTTTGATATGACTTTTTTTTTAAGAGAGTCATCATAGCGTTAATTTTTTCACTTTATTGTTCAGGTATAAATATATATCATTCATAAAAATTGTCCATGTTCAATTAATTATTAAAATACTTTTAAAATTGTTCTCTTACAATTAAAACATAAGTTTTGCAGCGCCGCAGCAATTCCGAAGGTAATTATCATTGAGTCACATCTTTTAATAATGACAATTAATTTCAATAGTTGTGCTTTAAATTACTATTCTAATTACCATGATTAAACCGTAGTTTTACTGTTTTAGACAACTAACTAATAATGATCTAGCCATGATTAGAGTGGGAAAAGAGTTAAAGAATGTTTCTTAACATAGAATTTTATTTACGAATTTTCAAATTATTGTTAGACCTCGACACATCAATTTATATTCTGTAGATGGATAATGGTTTCGAAAATCCTGGAATCATCTCTGTGTTTACGTACGTGCCAGTCTAATCTATGTAGCCTTAAAGGTTCCGGATTCACAGGGATAGTTTGCCACATGCTGAGGTTCGTTCTGCTACTTTTTCCCACGTAGAGAATGAACAATCTGAACCGAACAGACTAAGGTGGTTCATTTCACTGACACAAACTATAAATATATATATATATATAACGATAATCTCATATATTCTGACTATATTCTGCTGTAGAGCTGTAAAGGGGCTGAAAGATTAGCACGTTTTGGGAAAGCAGCACTGCCTTTTTCTGCTACTTGCTTGGAAGATCAGTTCAATGAGAATCTTCAATCCTATGGCGATTCTCTAGAGCTTAGCCCTCATGTATGTCATGATTTCAAGAGCATCCATTATTGATGTGCGACGTGTAAGGTGGATCTGAATTGACTTCAATTATTGTACGGTGTAAAGTGACGAGCTGAGAAAGAAGAAGACTAAACCAAGTCTCCCATATATATCTGTGATGTTTAAATATTTGACATTGCTTATGCACTCAACCACATGTATATGCGTACACATTTATGGTCGTGTGAAGATAATATTTATACCGATAGGAATATACGTCACTTAATGAGATTGGTTTTAGAAGAAAGGGTTTTAGCCACTTAAACAAGATGTTTCGAATTTGAATCTGTATAAATACAAAAATATGTCTTTAAGAGAGCAATTTCTAATTAGACCTAACAATACTTAAATCTGACTTAATCAGATAATCATATGAAAAACAAATTAAGGGAGATAAAAAACATATTGATTTGATCAATAGAAATGGATGATGGGATTTTATGTGGAGGAAGTTATGTAAGGCGCAGTGACAGTTATCAAGACTTGGAAAAAGACAGAAATAGTACGCCTTGGGTGGGGGATATAAAAGAAGTATGCTCAATGATTGGGAAGGAAGTGTGTGTTGTATTATTGAAGTTCACAAAAAGACCATCACTTTAAAGCAGTCACTTATTACAATAGGGTTACTCCATAGAAATATAGGGTAGTAGTCGTGTCAAATCAAGACACATATATGAATAATGAATGGTTATTGTGTGTTGATGTGTTTAGTCAGAGTCATGGCCATGCGCGGGGCTTTATATGTGTTCATATATATTTTTTTCTTCAATTGCTTTTACTTGCTGCAATGTAATTGTACACTTGTGCCGTTCAGCCGCTAATTATGCAAAAAGCTGATCGTAATGATTTTTGATTTCACAGCATTTCACTGTTCCTAGGTCTTTGGCTGCCCCATAATTCAAACTCATCATATTCTTCATCAAAAGCTGTCTCATCATTTTCTGATCTCATCAATCAATTTTCATTCACAAATGGATGAACTAGCTCGCCTATATCATTGGTGAATCAATCTACTGTATACCTTTTGTGTTAAAGCCAAGCTTCCACTTAATTCTCTATTATTAAACTCAGGACATGACTTCCATATAAAGTTGATTAGATTTTAATTACTGTTACTGTTGCATATTCCTCCACAGAATAAAAATGTGTGGAAAAGTCGCTTCATATATATGTGTGTATATATTTCTCCTTCCGTTAATTATATTAGTCAAACAATATGTATTGACAACATAACAAGTAAAAGGGAAAAATCTCAGCAATGAAGAAGTGGGTCATTTGGAATCATGATATGCTTGGTGATCAAAAGTGATTATTCAATTCTAGCTACTTTCTGAAAGAGCCAAAACATCAATGGTTTTTATTTTGAATGAAACTAGAAGCCTAAATCAAATCACAACCAACATTAACTTTGAAACATTTTTTCTTATCTTCGCAAAGATCAAGGCCTTAAAAATAGCTAAAGGTTTAACTACAGTGTTTAGAAGAAGAAAATATCTTCAGAACACTAGGTTTATATAAGTATTTTTATTTTTTCAGTTAACATATAATTCTATACTGAAGCGTGATCGTGTTCAATACGGAACTGGAGAGCGACAAGGACAGTTGTAAGTGCTATTGAATTGACCCCTCAATAAACGTTGGGAATCATAAAGATCAAAGGAGGAAGACTGAAAATCTACAGTAGCGAAATGAAATATGAGTAACTGTTCACTTCACATGCGTGGACCAATTCTTTTTGGCGCTCTTTGACTCCTTCTTCCTTCCCTGGTAAAATAGGGTGGTGAAGGCCTTTCCATTGTCATGTTCAATATCACCTTCCTTTTCCTTCCTCTTTAATTAAACCCACCTCCTTCCTTAACTGGATATTGCTTCTCTCCACTTAACACAGATTGGTATATACTACCTCACATCATTAATATAAAAATTCGTTAACTAATTTGAGTAGTTTAAGTTAGTTATCTGTAATAAATAGGTATTATTTTCTCTAAAATATCCTTACTAATAATGTGTATTAGTTAAAACTATCATTTAATGAAACTTTTAACATGAGTAATACTATAAGGACTATTTTGGCAAAAGATTGATAAATATGAGAGATAAAATAAATTAGAGTCTTATTATTAGGATCAACTTGTATGTCAAACTAGCTCTTATATTAAAGAGTATTTACTAGTTTTTAAACATATGTGTGTGAGTATAAGTCAGAACTGGAATGAGATTGCTTAACTAATATTGTGGATAACTTGTTGATCTTGATCAATCACTAAGCAAGTATTTAAGTCAAAACCGATCGACCTGCAGACTCGATTGCTTTTGCAGCGGTTAAGGGGATGTGCTCTTCGAATTATAGGCTTTGATATATGAAGTAAGTATCTGGGGTTTTGTTTCAATATATACTTTATTTTATTTGTTTTATTCCCACTATTTTGTTATCTTCGGATTTGGTTTTTGTGTTCTTCAAGTGCTCTGTAGACTCTTATTTTGGTATACAGACCATCCAAGCACTATGCTCTTTACATAAATGTTGCAAGCATATATGAATGTTTTTTTTGGCCAAAAAGCATATATGAATGTTGAAAACTAAGAAATCTCCATATTTATGATGGGCACTTTTGGCAGGTGGTTGACCAGTTTGTCATGATGATACTGTTATAGTGTTATGAGATTATTACCTAGAATGTTCTTTAGAAATGAGGTTAAGACTTAATAAGAGCCTTCACTGAATCACAACAGAATATGACTGCATTTTCTTTTTATTTTAATATTTTCTCGCATAAAATGTTTAAATCATGCAAAATACCAATTAATTCTCTTCCAATGTATTCTTATTTATTACTCCTCCGGTTCTTAATATAGGACTCAATTGTTGGATTGGTTTTGATTCTAAATATAAGATCCATGTCTCATATTTATCAATTTTCTCTAAATTACCCTTATAGATATTCCCTCAACCATAATCAAGTAGAAGAGGGAGATGGGGTATTAAGAAAGATGATTATGGTGTTTTAGGAAAAACATGTTACATTTCTTATAATTAACTAACTTACTTAATTTTCTTATTCCAATCAAATTAGTTAAATGGGTCTTATATTAAGAACTGAAGGAGTAGATATCTAAACCTGTCAGTTACTGATCGTTATTTTATGTCATCGCCTATTATTTCTACTATCAAATTTTTATATTTAATATTATATATTCAGAATGAAAATGTAACAGAGGCAATATCACACATTAGTAAATTGGAGTATTTTCTTTTGTCTTTTTGGCCACCAAATGATTATAAGAGTCTTAATTCAACAAAAACGAAAATATCAGTTTACATATCATGTCAGGGATCATTAAAGTTTTTGATAAGATCAAATAAAAGTGAAAAAGAGCCCATCTACAAAGTGTACTCTCAATTAACATCACAACATCTATCCAATTACAATAACTTTTAACTATAATACTCCTGAACAGATTAAAAAGGCACTCATTATCTACTAATCATACTTAGATTGCTAAACTGAACATATCTCATAACATAAATTAATTACCCTTAAAACCTATAGTAGCATAATCTATATATCAAGTAGACAAGTAAGCTCATCAAGGAGCCAATTAGGTCTCTCTGACCGTAATTATATTCAATAAAAGAGTCTTTGTTTTCTTTTCCTTGAAGGCATCCCAAGATAAAAACAACTTGAGACGCTTTTCCCTTCTCTTTTCGGTTCTTCACTGTCACATTTCATCCAAGTTCCACAGAGAATATTCTCCCATCCATTCACTTTCTGAACTCTGACAATAATCAAACTTGGGAATCCCATAATTACTTTCAGTTCTTGAAAATGGCTCCAAATTTAGCCCTTCCATGCCATAACTATGATCTTGAACTGGATTGAAGCAAACATCATTGTTGTAGTTCTCAGACACTTGAGGAAGGGCAGTACTTGTCGGGTTTTCTGATATTTCAAACGGTTCTTGTAATGGCAGGGAATAATGATCTGGGAAATCAAAATTGTTGTTGTAGGTGGTGGTGGTGGTGTGGGTTCTTGTGTGATTTGCTGCAATATCTGTGAATTCTCCTAGTGAAGGAGACAGGGAAGGGACATTAATTGCAGAATTCTGAGAGTTCATGTTCATGACAGAGGAAGAGGAAGATGATGAAGAGTTTTGTTCCATCTTTTGTAACAACCTAGGCATCCAGAAACATCGAACAGCATCGATGAATCTCTCACTACCGGACTCAATGTTGAGCTGGCGTGCCTGTTTCTGAACTCTTGTCCTCCAGTAATTCTTGATCTCATTGTCTGTTCTTCCGGGCAGACGCTGAGCAATTTTCGACCACCTATGCCATAAAAACCATATTCTAGTTATTCACCAACAACAGAAAATTTTGCTCTTGATGATCACTTTCTGAATCATCCATTACCGGTTTCCCCATTTGGAATGGAGTTCAAGAATCAAAAGTTGCTCTTGTGGAGTCAGATTCCCTCTCTTGATGTCTGGTTTCAAGTAGTTGAGCCACCTCAGTCTGCAACTCTTTCCTGTTCTTTTCAATCCTGGCGAAATCATTAATCATTCATCACTATATTTCCACATGAGGAATTTCCAAAGGAGAAAAACAGAGAAGATGAACTTATTATTGTTATTATTTCTTTCTGATGTTAAAGATCAAAGATTGTTGTTACGTACGTACCTGCACTTTTGGCCAACATGTTCCAACGACCTTCACCGTGAAGAGCGATACAGTGTATGAGTAAACTGTCTTCTTCCAGAGTCCAAGGTCCTCTTCTGAGCTCAGTTTCTTCTTCATTAGACCCAACCCCTGGTTTTGTAGCTATAGACATAGCTGATGATGAGAACAAGTTGCTGTGTGATTGAAGAGAAAGAGAAATGAAAGAGGGAAGGTGAGATTCTGTATGGTATAAAGAGTTTATATAAGGAAGAGATTTTGGAATTGAGGCTTCATATATAATGCCCACGGAATTTTGTTGAGTGATGGGTTTGGTGGCAGTTTACTGCACAATATGCTATCTGCTAGCTCGTAGAAATGCCTAAGTTTGACCATACACTTCTGAACTGGGCCCATTGATCTTACACCTTACAAATTACCTCTTCTAATTCTTAATATAAAAATTAGTTAGCTAATTTAAATAGATTTAAAAAATAATTATATTAGTTATTTATAATAAATAAATATTATTTTTCTTAAAATATCATTGCTAATAAGGTGTATTGGCTTAAACTATCATTATTACAAAGATTATTTTTTTAAAAAAAATAATTATGAGAGATAAAGTGGGTTAGAATATTATATTTAGGACCAAAATAAAAGTCAAATGAACACTTATATTAAGAATCAGAGATAGCATAAGATTTAAATAACTAATTTATGATAATTAAGTTAGTTATTTATAAAAAAATTTATGTTGGTTGTCCCAAGATATCTTTTTACTAATTCATAAAAAACTACATTCATGCGAAACTCTCTTTTAACATGTTCAATCAATAGGTATGGTTTGAGAGAGAATTATAAATTTGTCAGATAAAATGGACAGGACTCCTGTTTAGGATCAAAATGGAGTCCTTTCTTAGATTCTAAATATAATACTCATTTTATAGTATAAATTACATTAAAAATGAGCCTAACATTTATGGCTGGAGCAGCGTTATTTAACAGGTTTTATGGTTGACAATAAGGAGGGAGGTTTCCTGTGATATCTAGACAAGTGCTAAAGAATGAAGAGTAGCTGTTAACGTAGAATAATTCTGTTCTAGATATTGAAGGTGTTAAAACTCTCTTGGGCTAATAATTAATGGAAAGGTTTTGGCAGCGACACGAGGTCAACTAACAATTTTATCTATTGTTTTATAATAAAAAATTCAAGGGAATCAAGATTTACAAAGATCTTTACATATTATTCCTTATCTTAATAATAAGATCCCGTCCATCAATAATTAATAGCACTATATATGAGATCCCATCTAAAATTTAATGAAATATTTGTGACTCATTTTAAAAAATGTCCTTGTCTCATTCACTACTTAAACAATGGTTTTTCAAGAAAACTAGAAATTAAACATCGCCTGGATAATCTATGAGGATGTTCCAATTTTCTTGCACATGCTGCATAAAGAGCTGATTATTCTATGAAGACATTTCGTGTTGATTGGCCCATCACTACTCTGCCCCAGACGGCTACCAAACACGGTAAAAACAAAATAACAATCAAACGCTCTAGAAGAGTGGGAAGCATCCTCTTCCAACTAATTAATAATTGCATATTTACTTATGTAAATATTTATTTATTTATTCTTTATTTAATTTTGTTGAGGGAAACTTATTACAAGAGAAAAGTCATCTGAGCTCCAGATTCATCATGATATTAGACTCAAATGATTTAAAGCAGCATTTAATTTTCTTTCCAGGTTATGGGGGGAAAACTTAATCAATAAATCATCATAGTTCTTTATATATATATATATATATATATATATATTCGAAATGAATGCCCCACATAAGAAACGTATTTGACTGAGCAAAATATGAAATTGAAAAGTATTGATTTAATTAGCCGACTTTGGAAATAGAATGTATGCTTGGCGGCGAAAGAAGAGCTGCTGATGACTGACAATTCAATAAGCCTTGGTTGGATTAACATGTACTAAAATGATTTTTACCTCAACTAAATTTTACAAATTCAAATTAGGATAAAAATCAATTAGTGTAATATGCTTTATGTTTTGACATGTTACCTCTGGTACTAAATATTTCTTCCATTCCTAAATATAAAATCTAGTTTGTAGTGTAAATTACATTACAAATTATATCTTGTCTTTGGGACGGAAGATAATACTTTTTACAAAAAAAAAAAGTCAAATTGACCAAAAGAAAAAAACTTGTTTAGATGATAACTGAAAAGTCAATCTCAAAAACTTTATTGAGAAAAAAAAAGCCAAAAAAATTGTTTTAACTTTAAATTGGTTTTTTAGGCAAAAAGTCAACCACTTCTAAAGTCATACTACCTTTGGTTCTAATTATAAGAGCCAGTTGACTAATTTGAGGAGATTAAGAAAGTAAGTTAAGTTAGTTATTTGTCCTAAATAGGTGTTGCCTTTCCTAAAATATTCTTATTAATCAAGTGTATTGACTGGTATTATCATTGTTAGAAAGACTATTTTGAAAAAATATATATAAATATGAGAGACAAAGTGGATTAGGGTCTTACATTTAGGACCAAAATAAAAATCAAATAGAGTACTCCTCCGGTCCTTAATATAGGACCCTTTTGACTATTTTGATTAAATTAAGGATGGTAGTTAAGTTAGGTAATAAATATAGATATCCCAAAATACCCTCGGTTTACACTTCTAAAAAGAAACTGACATTTGAAAAAAATTAGTCTGGTTAACTCGCCTCCTCCGGTACCAACTTCGTCCAAGTTCTCCTGGCTCACGCACCATCCGGTACCAACGTAGTTAAGTTTCTGTTTGATTGGGTAAATATAAATAGAAGATTATATTTTCTGGGCACAAAGAAAATAGATAGTACGATTATTATTATGCTATTTCTCGGAGGTAAAAAAATCCAATTACCTTGAATGGGTATTTGTATGAAAATATTTTTTTTAGATGTTTAAATTATTTTATTAAAAATATAAAATGGTAGAATTGATGTTTGTGTGGAATCAATAAGTAATAAGTATTCATTCACTTTATAAAATATATAGATGTATTATTAATGAATAATGAGTATTATTGTGGTATTTAATTATCTAATAGGGGTAATTTAGGAAAGAATGAAAAAATATGAGAAAAGGGTCCTATATTTAGGACCAAGATCAACCTTCTAATTGGGTCCTATATTAAGGACCGGAGGAGTATTATATTAATGATCGGAGGTAGTATTAAACATTGTTTACTCTCATCCAACAATCTTTTCTTGGTCCTAACTGACTTTTGATCAAAAACCACAATCATTAAATAATCTCAACCTCACTAGGGAAAAATTGGAGACAAGATTAATAACAGAAGCACAAGTTTTAATATATATATATGAGAAAATAATAAGAATAATTTAGAAATATGTAACATGTTCCTTTACATTATATGAAGAAAAGTTGAGGGGAATCAATAATTAAAGCAGAAACGGCAAGGGGATATGGTATTATCAGACTCGTGATGAGAATGTCACTTCCTCACATATATAAAAGATGTGAATAGAGTTTGCTATATAAGGTTGGAAGTCCAATCAATCGTGGGAGATAGATGCCTTTGTGACTTGCCAATTTTGGTGGGAAATGCAAACCAGCCCACTTTCTAATACATCATATACTAATTAATTTATGATGATTAATTAAATTTTACGTTATTTTATTTGTTTATTGAAATATATAAATGATATATGGAAAATTGGAGTGCAAATGTCAATCATTGCCAATGCTGCAAATTAAAATGGAAAGCAATTAATTTTCGTTGGTTTCTTGCTAAATCAATACCAATCTATTACTTCCGATCCTTAATATAAGACCTTGTTTGACTTTTATTTTGATCCTAAATATAAGACCCCAATCCACTTTGTCTAGCATATTTATACATTTTTTTCCAAAGTAGCCCTTCTAATAATGATAGTTCTAGTTAATACACTTGATTAACAAGGATATTTTCTGAAAGACAATATCTATTTAGAACAAATAACTAATTCAACCTACTTTTTTAATCTTTTTAAATTAGTCAACTGGCTCTTATAATTAGGACAGGAGGTAGTAGCATAGACCAACCATGACTTTCAAATCGGTTTACATCCTTTCTGTTTATTCGTTTCTTTTTTTCTGTTTTTTTTCCCTAATTAGCTATTTTCTTAACTGTCACCTGAGATTTAAGATTTTTCCAATAAAACCAGTCCAAGATAAGTGCTATGTTTTGGTGAAAAGAAAATTTAAAGAAGAATATAAATATCATGAATTTCAAGGACAATGATTAAAATGTAAATTATAAATTTCATGAAATGTTATTTTTTTTAACTCAAAATTATTTCAGGATTAGAAAAGAAAAAAATAAAATTCAATTTGGATTACTTATATAAAATATGGTTAAAATTACACGACAAAGAAATTAGAATATTGAGTGCACCTAAAATATAAGGTTAGAGTGTTGAATGTACTTTTATTCTCTTTTTTCTCTTTCTTTTTTAATATTTAAGGTGTAATTTTTTTTTTTTTTTTTTTTAAAAAGAAGCGGCCCAGTAAAATAAAACATCGGATGGTCCAGTCATTGGGCCATAAACCGAGAGTATGAAAATATAAAATCGAAAAATAAAAAACAAAACGGTGCGTTTGATAGCATCAGCAGTTTCCTTCCGATCTTCTCTCAGGCCGAGCTTCTCGCCGACGGAACGATCCTCGGGTGGTGTTGCAGGCGAACTCCGGCAATCCGGCGCTCATGGTCACTTTCTCTTTTTCTCAGGGTCTTTTTCTTCGATAGATTTTTATTTTTCAGATGTAACTTTTAACGCTTTGGGGCAATAATGGAGTACCTGCGCTCTTAACTACTTTCTTTAGATTTCATCTTATTCGAGGTGCAAGTTTGACGTATTTCGCAGAATCAATTAATCTTGTGGTTTTATTTGATCATTCCAATTTATGTGCCGCTATAGGCCCTACTGCTTCAAAGTTGGGAGTGATACTCCAGACATGTTACTCACTTAGAAAGAAATTTGGAACACCTGGACGCATGAAAGGAGTGGTGTCTAAGGGTTAATTATGGGAAACTAATATCGGAGAATTGGAGCAAATGGGCACATCAGCAATGAACAAGGAAAAATTGAATGATGGCAAATGCAATAAGCGTAGTATGAGTGAACGGTGGAAGCAAAGGGAGTTGTTCCTTCTAATAGCTTATGCATTTGTTTTCTATGTCATCATAATCCGCCGGTCTCTTCAACTTTCTAATGGTATATCTCTTCGACCATATATAAGTTAGTTCCCCCCCCCCCCTTCTTTTTACAGTCCCTTCTGCCTGGTTGGTGGGCAATGTGCTGTGGTTTTTGAATTTCACAGATTACTACCAACGGCTCTATGGCTTACGTCCAGGATGGCTTCCACCTCATCTCCTCAATGTATGATGTCTGTAGCTCATTTTCTTTCAAATTTTTTGTTGTCATCTATTGAAACCATTTCTGCTTTTGCGTAAGATCTACTGCTTAACTTATTCAATCAATATTGGCTTGTCAATTACCCTTGGTGTTATTTTTTGTATAAAGGATGTCTCAGATGCCCAGTGGAGGAACTTTCGAGGAAATATACCTGTTCTTACTATTGTCTTTGGAATTTTCACTTTGCTGGCGAACTTGATGAGATCGTTCTTTAGCTTAAAAGTGAGGGGAATGTCCACTGTCTGGCTTTTGTTTTCTTTGATATACGTATCATATCTGCATGGAGCATGGTACGGTTTATTTAAATTATCATGCATTTATTTTACTTTCTCCCACTACTGACATTATTCTTTTCTTCACTCTAACATTTTGTTTGTTTTTCTCTGTAGCATAGTTTTTGTCCTATCAATAGCCACAGTTAATTTTCTTCTAGTAAAGGTGCGTGTAAAGGGCGAATGAACAAATATTACTGTAGTATTAGCATATGCATGTATTATTGTTTTAATTTTGTACTTCATCACAGTGATATACTATATGAAGTATAGTTTCTGTGACTGAAGATTTTCTCCTTAGGCTGCTTTATCCTTTATAGCATGCCCTATTCAGAAACCATAAGGAAACATCTGTGGGATATTTTGAGGTATTAATGGCCTTCATTTGTTGTTTGGATTTCAATGTATAAGTTTCTTCGTGTAATACTACTTACTGTACATGTAAACACAATTTTAGGACCCTAACAGTCAGTTAGTGCTTCTTGAAGAAATCTTAACTTCCTCTCATGTTGTTCCCAAATGAATAAAATGGATTTCTTTTCAGATGAGCATTGTATTGTGTCATTTATTTACCATATTTAGTAATTCTTCTCTGTATTTACATGTACTAAATTCATGTTATTGCAGATATTTGCACGGAAGAAGTATTTTACACTCATAGTTTGGAGTTATAACTTATTTTTTCTTCTTTGCAATCGTGTTTATGAAGGATATCCGTTCTCTACATTTGGGTGAGAGAGTAAGATATATTATGCTGATCTGTTGTTTGCAATTTATCAGTTGTTCCTTACTAAAATGATCCATTTACGCTCCAGGAAACAATTGGCATTTTTGGACAACCACCGAGGCACTTTTAGATGGCACATTTGCTTCAACTTTGGTATTTGTCTGCTTCACTGTTTCTTTATTTTAATATAGTATCTTTAGCTCAGAACCTTCTATTGACGTGTCATTATTAATTTATCATGTCTTTTAATTGTTATTCTATCACAATATGAAAATTGGAACTTATTATGTTATCAGCATACACTTGAAACTTTTTAATTCAAATCTCTTTTAACTTTAAAACTATTTTCAAGTTACATTATTTGATAATCACTTGTAAGCTAATAACTTCATTTTTTAGGTATAAAATGGGACTCAAAACCCAAAAAGAAATTTGAAAAAAAAAAAAAAAGTACTTTCATCGAGGAACATGAGTCTCCATACTATCAGACAGGAAGCCAAACTAACATCAGATGGTATAAATCCCATTCATGCATGCCAAGAGAAACCTATGCTGATAGCAACATTTAAAAATTAAATATGCTTATTTTTGCATTCTAATTTACATAAATATTGCATCAAGAAGAAAATATTAATTTGGTATGTATGATTTTATTGCTAAGTTCAGTTATTTATGGCAGTTGTTCTGCGTATGATAAGCTTTGGATTGGATTATCATGGGTTAAATCAAGAGTCTCATATTGATCAGGAGGTATTATATTATTTTATGGTACCTTTTCATTTCTTCAGAGTAATTTGGTTGGATATGTTACGTGTATATGTTATTTCTGCAATCATATGTGTAAACTGCTGAAGTTGTAGCGATGGCCATGTGGTAATACCAATATCATATACTATTGTAAATTTTTCAGTTAGTAGGCATGCATTGTCTCTAGCAGCTTATGCTATAAATTTTCTTATTATTTGGATAAAAACGTATTAGATTCCCTACAAGGAGTGAAAGAAAACGGACAGTGGCTGCTTTGGAAAGTCTTGATATTCTGGGAGGCATTTGTTACATATACTCATAGGTGGAAAAGTTTTTTTTAGTTTGATAAACAACCAATACGGGAACTTCTGTAGTCTATTTAATAAAGAAGAAAGACAGACTAATGCTATATTCTGGTCCCCCCCTTGCCATCTAAGATGGAAGGGCTAAACCAAATGCACCAAGCTTGTTATTAGGTATGCAACCTTTGAGATGAAAAACCTTTAATAAAACCTTATTGAAGTGGAAAACAAGAAGCTCAAATAAAATATCTCCATAGCAGAAAAAAGCGAATAGAATACCTGACAACAACTTCCATGCGCATCATGTTGACTCATCACCAGGGAACATCATCAGCCAAGAGATGACCTGGAGTAAGGAAAACAGATCTGAACTTGGCTGGAGCATCAAAAAGGTGATATGTGCCCCAATGGAATATCAACAAGTAGGTTGAGAAACAGCACTTCTGCTATAAGACGGTAAACAGAATGGTAATATGTATAGCAGAAAATGGTTAAACCGAAATGCAGCTAGAGAAAAGCTCTACTTGGGGTAGAGTGACATACAACTGGAGAAAAGGACCGTTACAACAAAGACGCAGTGGGACGAGCATTGGAGCGATGTGCAGCTGAAGAAAAGTAACATGAAAAAAGTTCTTTTAGAAAAACAGAAAAAGGAGATGGCTTGAGGAGGTGGCTGAAAGAAGACCAGAGAAGGTGAATGAAGGGCCACTGAAGAAGCTGGCCAGAGGGCTGCCTTAGAGGGTGATTGGTAGATGTGGGATTATGAGGGCCTAGAGATCTGCTGGAGATGTGAGCAAATTTTTTTTCTTTTAAATTTAAACCCTGGAATTCATTAAACAACAAGTGATGCAAATGGAACAGACTCTAGCAATTTAAAGCTTCTTTCATCAACTTCCATCAGCTAGCCTAGGAAGAGATGGAGGGTGATCAAAGAAGCAAAAATTGCCCTCAAGACCATGAGAGATCTAAGCTAGCTAATCAGCAATTAAGTTCTCCTCTCTAGACCTATGATTTACTAAGACTTGCCAATCCCTACAAATAAGAAATCTAGCTTCATCTACTACAACTTTGAAAGGGTGTGAGTGATCACAACTGCTGGTTATCAGAACAATGGCTTCTATACCATCAAAGAGAAGATATATTTTCCTGAAACCTCTAGACCAACATAAATATAAACCATGAATGATTCCAACGAGCTTGGCAACTGCTGGTGTTACCCTTGTTAATTGGCAGCTGAAACCATGGATGCATTGATTTTTATGATCACGAATGGCACCATCGCAGCTGCTTCTCCATTGAAAACTCGCTAGGCCTATTCTTCTCTCTCTGCAAGCTTGGATACCATATAAAGAATAAAAGAAAGAGAATGCTTTGTAAAGCCTTGATATCAAGGTAGATTCGTGTTGCCTGTATTTTGTAAAAGAGAAAAAGGTGTGTATATACTTGACTTGAGATATGACCTATGTGGGACTTCTGTAGTTTAATTTAACAAAGAAGAAAGTCAAACTCATCCTATATTCTAGCATGCTTCAATTAATGATCTCATAGATTATGTTTGGTAATGTAGCCATGGCTTGTTTTACCATGCATGTATTGTTTGAGCAAGACATTTGCAATTGCAAGTACTTAATGAACATTGTGTCATGTACCTCTTTCTGACTTTACAGCAGAAATCTTTTTCTATATAAATTTAAAGCTCTGTTCTTTTGGGTATTTATGTGATTCTCAAAAGTTAGTTTTGCTGATGTTTTTTGTCTGTGGATTATAGAAGCATTATCAACGTTGCCAAATTTGTAAATCAGGAAAACCTTGCTACCAAATTCTGCAGGTTAGATCAGCTTGCTAATTGATCAAGTCATAAGTGATTTTCATAGTAGTTGCTGAATTCCGCTTTATGCTTTTATTTAGGCTTACTTTTATATAATTATCTTTTCTGTAAAACATATAGTCTCATTCTTGTGCAATACTGTGGTTACAATACCAGGAGAGAAGCTTGCGGAGTGACAAGTTCAGATATAACACATACCTTTGTTATCTGCTATATGCGCCACTTTACATTGCTGGTCCAATAGTTAGCTTCAATGCTTTTGCCTCTCAGGTTTGTGACTAAGTTACTTCTTGTAGCATACCCGTGTTCAGGCTGTTTGGTTATTTAAAAATTGAGGAATAAATGTTAAATATAAATGTTTTTGTAACTAAAGTCTAATTGCCGAGTTATTTATAGCCTGATGTGTTCTTAATGTTTCATGTGTCATAACTTGCTGTCAATAGTTTTGTACGGTTGTTTGATTATATGTTATTTTGCCAATGATGCTTCTTCTGATGTGCTTGCAGCTAGATGTTCCTCGGAGTAGTAATTTAAACAGAAATGTGATATACTATGGCTTCCGCTGGGTATTGAGTCTTCTTCTGATGGAGTTAATGACACATTTGTTTTATTATAATGCCTTCGCAATCAGGTCAGTTCCTTAAAACTCAGCAAAACAGTGGGTCATATTTAGTGTTTGTTATTGGGTAGCTGATTTTTTTCCCCCTTCTTTTGATTTATAAGTGGTCTGTGGAAGCACTTGTCTCCCATGGATGTATTCATAATTGGATATGGGGTAAGATATTATTCTTCTGGACTATAATATGAGAACATGTACAATATAAGTCAAGCAATGTTTACTTTTTGTGTTGATTCTCAGTCCTTGTGGCCTAGTTTCTGAAACAGGTTGATTGTTAATTGTATATATAAAAACAGAGAGCAGGAACAAGTTAGTGACACATTTTCTATTAATCAAACGGAGAATTTTCTTTGGATTCACACATTTTGTGAAAGGTTTATTCACATAACCCATCTGTGACCTAATAATAATCACCGTATACAGATTGGACCTGTTATGATGCTTCTGATGAGGAAAAAGTCAAAAAGCATTTTCAGTTGATGGTTAGCTCATTTGGCAAGATCTTAACCTTGCCTAACGATTAAGATTACTTCAGCTCTCATGACATTAAGGCGTTACCCTATCTAGGTGTTGCAGTTTATTAGTTTTCTCATTTTTGTCACACATTCACCACCATGATGACGGTGTCTTAGGCTGTATTAGACTAAAAGTTCAAGTTTTGGTTAAGACTGAAGACTTTTTAAGGTTTGATTGTGTTCAATCTACTACCTCTGGTCCTTTTTATAAAAGACATTTAACAACTTTCACACGGATTAAGAAAATCAGTTACTCTAATTGAATATGTCCATATTTTCAATCATTTTCCAAAATTACCCTTCCTCAGTGAAAATTATTAAATTAGTGTTGTTTTGTCTCTCTACATAATTAAGGGTTTTAGGCAAATGAGTAATTAATGCTTCTAGAAATGTGTAAAGTCTCTTATAAAAAGGACCGAAAGGAGTGATTTCTGGCAATTGGGAAATTTATTTATTCTAAAATTTGTGTTTGTTTAAAGAAGAGGAATGGACCAAATAACATACATTTATTAAAAGATTCAATGATTGTGTGGATAAACTTGATCTTTATTTTAATAATATACACACAAAAGATATGAATAACACGGAGATTTTAGGGCTGCTACACCTGCTGTGAATAGGAAATTCTGCTGGAATTATGTCAAGAATGTAAAATCATAAAAGTAGAAATTTTGTTTTAAAGCCTTTGATATGAAACCCTTAAATCTTATCAGGTCCAATATAAGCCTAATAGAATAGAAATATATATAGTTTGATTGCCAAAAATATATTTAGTTCAGGTTTTCCTCTACTGTAATTTTACCATTCAAGAATAATGTTTTGGATGTTATTGGGCTAATTTTTGAAAAGTAACAAGTTATCCAACTTATGGCTTGTATGCGATATGATTAGAAGGAAACAGGCTGATAATGAGCTAAGCTAGGATCCTTGTGGCCGTGATCTTTCAGTAAAGCTTAATATCTTACAGGAACAGTTTTATAAATGATAGAAGTTGATTTGTTCCTCACTTCTCTCCTACTGTCTTGCTCTGTTAGAGCATTAGATGTCCTTCTTTTCATTTTATCATGTACTCAGCATAGGGCTTTATCATTAATTTGTTTCAGGTCTTAAACTTCATGTGGCTAAAATTCTTACTGATCTGGCGCTATTTCCGGTTCTGGTCACTGGTATGTTTCCTGCTGTGACCTTTAAGCCTCTGGCTTGTATTTTGACTATGATTTTATATAGATCTAACCTTTGGAACCATGCCTTGTAGATAAATGGCATTGAGGTTCCAGAGAATATGCCAAAGTGTATCAATAATTGCCACAGCTTGGAGGGTTTTTGGAAAAATTGGCATGCTTCCTTTAACAAGTGGCTTGTGAGGTGCAACTGACTCCTTTGCTTTGATTTTCTTCTCCTTCTCCCTTATGATGGCTTGAACTGATGAGAAGTGCAGGTACATGTACATTCCTCTTGGGGGGTCTCAAAAGAAGCTGCTAAATGTATGGGTCATATTCACATTTGTTGCCATCTGGCATGATTTGGAGTGGTAGTCTCTCCTCTTGTTGGTCAGTTGTATCCATTCCATAGATAGAAAGGGCATATTGTTTGATTTTATAGCTTATGTTTGATAACCCTCATTGTCCTTAGGAAGCTTCTGTCATGGGCTTGGTTGACATGTTTATTCTTTATCCCTGAGTTGGTGCTGAAGTCAGCAGCAAAGGCATTTCAGGTCATGCAATATCTTTCTGTGCCTTTCTATCTTCAATTGATTCAAGTTGTTATCAATGTTAAGAAAACTGGACTGGCCACTGAACCGGTCAAGACACCAATTCCTGGTTTCATGGTTGACTTAGTAAATGATCATTATATCCAAAGAAAAGTATTATATGGAAATAAAATAATATCTATTAATACTTCAAAATCTTCATTGAAAATGTATTTACTAGTCGTATAATTTAAAAAATGTGACCAGTTCACTGGTTCTACCAGTTCTCCCGATTTTCTAGCATCACTGGAAGCCATGTGACCAGCTCAATGTTTCTTGTAGAACAGAGGACATTTTCTCTAGTCTCATTCTATTAGAGTGGATACTGCAAATTATGTGAAAGAAAACTACCTAACAAGGAAGCTATAAATCTGGAAACAAACCTTGAATTTAATCAGACTAGAAATGGAAATAAAATCCTTGAAACAATTCTGAAAAATAAGGAGTATAACATGGCCAGTACTTTAGGATGAGTAGTCAACACTCATCCACTAGTTGGCCTAGGCTGTTGGTCATTCACTGCTTGTCAATCAGCTTCGCAAAATTTAGTCTAGGATGCTCTTTGGTTAGAACATATAACATTTTTTTCCTCACTGGGAACATAGGTCGTACAAGTTACCTGATCTTCCATGTTTTATATAATTATATATCAGTCTACCATAACGTGCACTGTATCTGATCATGGTGAATCAAGATTTGAGCAATACTTATTGCTACCTTCCCGTTGCAGTACAGCTTCATGAGGTTGATACTGGGCATTTTCCAGTTCTTCCACTAGCCTTTTCAATCAAATTATATCACGAGTTCTTTGAGCAAGAGTTCAAAATTCTGCATCTACACTGATGTGAACTGTAATTGACTGTTTCTTGCTTTGTCAAGTGAGCAAGTTCCCCCCAGCCTGAGCACAATAACCTGATATGGAACTGAGTCTGCCAATCTACATCACTAATTTTCTGACTCCCAGGCTGAGTAGCCTGCTTCTCCTTCCTTTGGTGCTCTTGTTGACCCCGTGAAGCAGCCAAGCTTACCTTTGCTGTGGATCACCAGAGGAACAGATTCGAGTCCATTCTAGAAAGTTGGCCGCAGTTGAGTTTTGTGCTTATTAGTTAGTTGGGAAGAAAGTTGCAAATTTCACACGAGTTTGGAGAAGGATGCCTCTGAGGACCCATCTTGGGATGGGGTGCATCCCAAGTCAGGCCATTTTGACTGTTAAAAAATAGGGTACTTGTTTCTCTGATACCATCAGAAATAGAACAAAATTAATTTCACTAGCGGAACTTATCCTTTGCACAGTGAATAGATATGGACTATGCACAAGAAAACTACCTAAAATAGAAATGCTATAGAAAAGGAAAAATCACGAGATAAATCAGGCTATAAAAGGAAATAAAAAGAAAGTCCTAACCATAGGAGTAGAATACAGTCAATAAATAGGATAAGTAGTCAACTGTGGTATTATACCATTGTATGATGTCTAATATTGTTACTGTAGGTAAGAATGTGACTTCCGACATTACTAAATCATAATCTGATTAACTGTGTTAGTAGCCTGATTTGGATCGAATTTGAGCATACAAATTGCGTTTAAATTTTCATGAATTACCTTTGGAGTTGTGTTTTCATTGAAGCCTCCCTCCCACTGGCCTTTTCTTTCCTATGAATATGTAAGCGCCTCAGGCCCTCAGCAATGTCCCTTTTTTTTTTTTTTTTAAATCATGAATATTAGTTCAAAGTCATAATTCTTGCTTTCTAACTTTTGGCGATCATGTTTATGATTATCAGGCTGAAAATGGTTTTGGGGAATATTTATTTCGTGAACTCAGTGCTGTTGCTGGTGCTGTCACAATTACCTGTCTCATGGTTTGCCCTTTATCAAACTAGGAAACTATGGCATATATGAATATCATATTTCTTCCTTGTGTTATTTACCTTCTTCATGAATGATTTTGCATCTGGTATTGTGCATGTGATGTCTTTTCTCAAATAATGTATAAAAAGAAGTGCCATCAGGAGCAATTGAAAATGTTATGAAAAAGTAGTGCAATATAACTTTGTTGTATTTCGATTCTGTTTTATCACTGGTATTTTCATCGAATTGAAATTAGCTATGAACTAGGAGGACCCTCACAAACACAAGTTGTGCCTGTGTAAAGCAAGCATAGTAGTTGTGGACTACTAGGATTTACAATCAAAATGATCGAGAACCAGGGGATCCAAGTTGTATGTCATCGTTAGAATAACAGTCGTTTAACAACATTGTGTAACTTAAGATCTTTATTGACTTCTATCAGAAGTACGTTAAATTTGTGCTCTTTTAGGAGGAATGTTGTGTGCTTGGAAGCTGGGTGAAAATACTAGAACTTTTATAGCCGAGATCTCTCTTTCAGTTTCTTGTGCTTTTTTGGAGTAAGACTCGAGTATTTTTCTTGACAGGTGGCAAATCTGGTTGGCTTTGTTATTGGACCGGGAGGCATCAACTGGTTGCTTTCTTCTTTCATTCGAAAAGAAGGTACTACGTCAGTATCCTTATCCTTGAATTCCAATGCTGTTATATACAATCCATTACTCATTGGAACTTCCACCTCACAGGACTGCCAGTTCTTGGTGGCTTACTTCTGTCGTTTTACGTGGGAACGAAGGTATGGTATCTTCAGCATTTAACTTGATATGTAGCCCACATTTTCAAATAAGTAGTATGGATATCTTTTCCCTTTCTTTTTATAATTTTAATATTTGACCGAAATATTTGCAGCTTATGTTCCACATAGCTGAAGCAAAGCAAAGGTCACCTTGAACGGCGACATATGTTGCCTATATTACTTTATCCCAATCTGCAAATTCCATGTTCTCATGATGTGCTAGAAGTTACATCACAGAGTTCTCTGGGTTATGTTATCAAACTGATCTTCATTTTTTTCATGGCAAAACCAAAATCAAAGACAAAGGAAAAAGAACAAGTAAAGCTGATTGGAAATGGATTATGAGTAAATGGTTCGGGATTAAGCATTTTACCTACCAGTTTCGTCTGGCCAGAAAAACGAATATTCTTCATTGCTTTTGAATTTTGATAATTGCATTTTGCTTTCTTTGTTTCGCCAGAATAATGTGTAGTGTTATGTTTGCCTGTTTATTTACTTTCAGATGTCAAGAAAGAAGGAAAGAAAGAAAGAGGAAAAAAGAAACCCATTTAATTGCCCCATTTTGCATTATGACTTGTGAATGCAAGAGAACTTGACAATATGCGGGATTTAAGTATGGTCCTAAAAAGATATAATATTCATATCTCATACTCACCTGCCATTTCTTCTCTTCCTCTCTGTTTTTATCTAAATAATATTTGCTTTACATTATCCTTCAAAATGGCAATAGATTGGATCATAATTATTGAGAGACAAGTGAAAGAGTCTCGCTTAAAATATGATTAAATTGAGAATTAATTATCTTTCAGTGAGACAGATAATAAATAATTCTTAGATAAACTGTAAAAGTGGCCTTGGTTTTTCTTTTTTGTTTTTGGTTATCTCCCCTTCAATGAAAATTGACAAATAGCCTTACTTATCCATGTGGTTGGGCTTCACACCCGACCTACAAAGATAGGGTTCGTTATTATATCACTCTGTTGGATAAGAGGGTTGGAGAGTATTTATAGAAAGAAGAGTATTTATCTGGTCAAAAAAGCTCTTTCTTGCCTTCCTAGGTTTCATCCTTTCTTTAGTAGTTTTGCTGATTTATTAATTATCAACATAAAATCATCGTTATCTCAAAATTTATTAAATACTCGTGTGTGGGTGTGTGTCAAAATCAATTATAAATTCAAAATCATAATTGTCTCTCAAGTCACTAAAAATTGAGGCAAGGATGGAACAGTGTAGTTTCAAGTTAATGACTCAAATTGTGGGATCATATTTAGGGAGGAAAGTATATTGTAGGCTGCTTCTGGTTTCAACAAATTTAGATTTGTTGAAAATGAGCAAATCCCTTTTTCAAGTAAAAGAACAAAGCTTAATATGCCCATTTCCATAAAAGGAAAAAAAAGGTTAGGAAGAAGTATATTTAAGAATCTAAATCCCCCAAAAAAAAAAGGCATAGCTTTTTCTAAAGATTACTTGAAAGATGATAAACATGGATTTTGTACAATTTTCTGAGTACATAACCTTGTTATGGAATGACAGGGATGTTACTCATTTATTCTCCCAAGGGATGGAGAACCAGAAAATTAGGAAGAGTAGATTTCCATAAAGAGAAAGTTTCCTGTCAACATTGCTCACAAATTTGTTAGTTAGGATGACTCTAATTATGGAGTTCATTTTGGCCATACTATAATTATTGAATAAAAACTATATAGTTAGCAAAAAAGAATCAAAACTGTGTAATACTCTCTCTGGTTTAAAATATAAGCTAAACTTTCTTAAAAGGGTTTTTTTTTAATAAGATAACATTCACTTTTGTCCAAGCATTTAATGAGGTTTTTTCAATGAGGTTTTTTCAATTTTACCCCCATATATTCTCTCTCCTCTTTAATTCATTTATTATATCTTTTATTTATTCTCTTTGTTAATAAAGGTATATTAGGAAAAACAAATATATGACTTACATATTTATTGTTTTAAATTGATTTAATTAGTTTTTTAATAAATGCAATGGATAAAGTTTAGCTTATATTTTGAACTAGAGGAAATACTAATTTATCAAACTATGATTGCTGTCCAATGTCTATCACTCAAATAATATTACGATTATAAGAAATACTTTTTTGGTCCCTCATTATAATGAAAACTTTATATTATCTCCGGTCCTAATTATAAGACCCAGTTGACTTACTTGAGGAGATTAAGGAAGTAAGTTAAATTAGTTATTTGTAATAAATAAGTATTGTTATTCCTAAAATATCCTTGCTAATTAAGTGTATTGGGTAAAATTATCATTATTAGAAGGATTATCTTGGAAAAAAATGTATAAATATGATAGACAAAATAGATTGGGATCTTATAATTAAGACCAAACAAAAAGTCAAACGGGGTCTTATATTAAGGACCAGAGGTAGTATAAGTAAAGAATCCCGTTAAATTTAATTAAAATTTTAAAATCTATTATAGATTAGAAAGTTGTTTTGTTAGTTAAAACGTATCCATCACAACAAAGAACATTTAAATACAATGTTAAGATTTTAGACAAATGGTCTTATATTAAAGATCGTGAAAAACGATCTAATGATAAAGACATGAGAGAGTATTTTATAATCAAGGTTTCTCTCCCCTTGAAGTTGAAATTAATATGCTAGACTTTTGACAAATTAAGAATAAGAAGGACTTCTGGTGGAAACAGTTTAGAGCATGATTTTAAATTATGGTAAAAAGAACCCAATTTCAAGTAAAAATTGTGTATTTGTCGAATTAAGGTCAGATTGGAGCATAGTTTATATTTCTTTTGAGTTGGATACTGTACTCTTTCAGGCCAAGAATTGAAATATGAATAATTGAGTATGTTATAAATATTCGTATTCATTTAGCATCTTCAATATTAAAATACAACTGTAACTACCTCCAAAAAATTTTATTTCAGCTGGAAATAAACTCTTGTTTCTAATTAAAATATAGATTGAAATTCAAAAACTTCTCTAAATGCAATTATTTATAAATATCTAGATTATGTAATGACGTGAACTTTATCTTTAACTTCTATTACCATGCGTACTGAGGAAAAACTATGGCTTCTTGAAAAGCAAATCATGGAAATTGTCAATAAACGACAAAGTTTGACAATAACATCTTCATCATTGGCAGTGTCATTTCAAAGGCGAGAGGTATATATGAATCTAGTCATCTTAAATCATGTTCTTGTAGGTCCCCTTGAAATGATATATAAATTAATAGATCTGGATATTTTATCTCATATATATGTATATTCATATTTTTCAGATGGAAAGGATACATATATCTTACTTATGATATCTATGATATTGATATAGACTTCAGTTACTGCCATATCAAAAGAATCTAAATCTAAATTATATAAATAAAAAAAGGGTGAATGAAAAGGAAGTGCTTTTATTTATGAAGACCGTCCTTTATGTCCTTATCCCACCAAATTGGACGCTTTTGTGAAGATAGTATAAGTGAAGGGTGATGAGCAAAAGATGGAGGAAAATTCCTCATCCAATATTCAACAACTCATGGCTCTCTTCAATGGTTCCTTCTCGGATCAACACCTTAATCTCCCTCTCGGCCCCAACAATATTTATCCACAGGCTCTTCACTCTTCTGTCTCTCCTAATTATGTTCACCAAGATGTAGAAACGTGGCCTATATCAGAAACCTTGCTGGATTCTTCTCCTCCATTTTCTGCAACTTCTTCTGCTGACAAGAACAAGGTTAAGAACGCCTCATATATTAATATATCTATATATATAGAGAGAGAGAGAGAGACACACACACACACACACATCATATCATCTACTTCTGTCCTTTCTTTCTTCGTGCTTATGTTTTCACCTATATTTTGTTCCCATTTCTGCAGAGCCTGGTTATGAGCAAAAGGAAGAGAAAAAACAGTGACAGACTAGAATTTGAAGAGAAACCAAAAGACGTCATCCATGTAAGAGCGAAAAGAGGCCAAGCAACTGATAGCCACAGTTTAGCAGAAAGGGTAAACCTTCAAATATTAAAGGAAATCAAGGGATCTATTCCAGAAAATAATACCTTCTTTGTTTTCGCTTTGCTAGGTGAGGAGAGAGAAAATCAACGAGAAGCTAAGATGTTTGCAAGAATTAGTTCCAGGTTGCTACAAGGTAAGTATATACATACACACAAATATTATCAGATGTTCTAAACTATCCTTATCCTATCCTTTTTGGGGTGTGTGTGTGTTTGGGTGGGGGGGGGGGGGAATCTTAGTTCGATATACGACGTAATAAGTTAATAACTCGATCATCATGTCATTTTTGAGAACTTGCAGACAATGGGTATGGCGGTGATGTTAGATGTGATCATAGATTATGTTCAATCTCTGCAACAACAGATTGAGGTGAGAACATATGTCAGAATATTGCTTTTCTGAAGGTAAAGAAGAGAATTTTATCCAAACACGCTGAACTATAAGATCTTCCCTTCATTTTCAGTTTCTTTCCATGAAGCTTACAGCAGCAACCATGCATTATGATTTCCACGCTTCTGAGTTCAATGTCACCGAAACCTTCCCGGTATCCTTCATTGCCTATACTATTATAATTATAGTTAAAGGTCAGACCTAAAGTTGTTAATTTATGAGCTTAATTAACTCTCTATGTCGCAGAGGAACGATAATAACAGTACTTGGCAAGCCCAAGAGATGGAGAAGAATATGGGAGAAGAAGGCTATGGAGGGTACTCTTATTTCAATCCAACGTGGCCACTTCATTAATATCTTGTACTTGGACAATCGTACGTGTTATTTGGGATAATGCATATGACTGCCATGTTGGCATATACTATATCATGGAGAGTCGTTTTTAAGCAGCTTCAATAATTAATGTTTGACTGATAAAATATCAGATGCTACGCGATTTTAGTTTCCAATTGAGTGGTACAAATTTCTTCATGGACTGTGAATATATTGATTTTTTTATGTTAGTAGGTTTTTCAGTTGGATGCCTATTGATATATCGATCAGAATCTGTTGATGAATGATGATGGCTCTGAAAAGGACTATTTGCAAAGGGTTTTTTGATTGATTTTTTTTCCCAAAAGAAAAGAGCGAAATACAGTTCATTTTAAGTAACATGATATCAAATGTTTGGGTGAATTTTGAATCCATTTTTAAATTAAAAAAAAAAGCTGAATTGTTGGTCGTAAATTCTTACACTTTAATAACTTTCTTTAAAATAAAAGATCTTTTTAACCCAGTAGATACTCATGAATCTCTTTTTGTTTTTTCTTGTTTTCAAAATTTCTTATTGTATTTATCTTTTTTTGGAATTAACTATATATATCTATAAATATTGTCTGATACGAGATCGATTGCAATCCCTTTCATATCGCTCACAATTTAATGAAGGCTGGTACACAATAGAAGAGGGGGCTAAGCATGCAAAGCTATCACATTAAATATAAAGGAGTACAACTTCCTAGAAAGAATCATCTACGCATGAATCCCTTTCTCATGCATTACCCTGACAGGGACAACATGTGATTTTGATAAACCTTTGAAAACGATCCCTCTTCCTTCTGTACTGTCGGTGATCATAAACTTTTAAACCATACACACACAAACACGCGCATTTTTCTTCAATTGAAAGTTACGGAACATTTTATCTTGAAATGTGGGTCATCAAATGACTAAGCATGTACGACAGTACGTAGATGACGGAGATTAAACAGATGATGAAGATGTTTCTAGCAATATTAAGATGCATGGGACTCATCGAAATCATATAGAGTCCACTCAATTATTTATTTCCAAAAAGTCTACTTAGATATTGTCACCTAATTTTAAAAAAAAAAAGTCTACTTCTACCAAAAAACAGAAAAGTGTACTTAGATATGATCCATATATATATGCTTCTCCGATCTTTAATATAAGATCCATTTAACTAATTTAATTATATTAAGGAAGTTAGGTAAGTTAGTTAATTATAAAAAAAGTAATACATTTTTTCTAAGACACCATAATAATCTTTCTTAATACCCATTTTCCCTCTTCTACTTGATTATGGTTGAAGAAGTATCTATAGAGGTAATTTAAAAAAAATTAATAAATATAAGAAATGAGTCTTATATTTAGAACCAAAATTAATTTAATAATTGGGTCTTATATTCAGGATCGGAAGAGTATATATTGGTGATGGGGACATCTGAATTACCGACGAGAGATTGAAACGGTGGGATCGATGGAGCCGAGCTGTGAAAGGGCAAATACATTGCATTAAATAACACACATATATATAGAGGTATGTATGTATATATGTTACAGACAACTTGATTAAAAGGGACACTTCAATTCAGAGTGACCCGTCCGACACAAAAAATTGAAGTAGCTAGAGGATTTTTAAAACCCTGCCTGACTTGAATATGATTAATTATGATATATATTATATTAGAGTATAGCTTTCCGAAGTTTTATTTAATTTAGCTTTTGAGGGACTTCTATCACAAGCCTCACCACTTTTGGTACAATTAGCTCAGGAGAAATAATGCTACGCCAATAAACATATATTACCTCCGATTCTTAATATAAGACCTTATTTAATTTGTATTTTGATCCTAAATATAAGACCCCAATTTACTTTGTATTTCATATTTATGCATTTTTTTCAAGGTAGTCCTTCTAACAATGGTAGTTATAGCTAATACATTTGATTAGTAAAGATATTTTAGGAAAAACAACACCTATTTATTACAAATAACTAACCTAACTTTTTATTTTAATCTTCTCAAATTAGTTAACTAACTCTTGTAATTAGGACCGGATGTAGTATATAACATTTGCTTCATTATTTTATATTGTTATTAGTTGAATATTTGCAAATGAATATATACTTGTCTCTCTTGTATTGAGTCTTGCCCTTCCTTTGATGGTGTTAAAGATTTAAATTCTCATTTCAAATAAATTAATGAACTTAAATTGGAAAATAATAAAAGAGTGTTAAAGAGATCAGAGTGTCAACTATGCTAAATGGAAATTACCTTGATGTGGACAAGCTGATGAATTAGAGACGTATGGCGGTGTGATAACAACACGAGAATTGTAGATTGTAGATAGATCAATGGCTTCATGAATAAATTTTGGGATTCTTAACTAGCAAGGAAGGTGAACTCACACGTACGGGATACTACGGGTTTAAAAGAATAATGAGAAAATATAACTTTAACTCATAAACCTTTTCTTAAATTATCCATTTAGAATAATTATAACCAGTTAGAATTTAGTATTTTATTAGGTGAATAAGAAATAGTAGGAGTCGAATTGTTTCAAGTTAAAAAGATTATTCTAAGGGCAAAATTAATAACTGAATAGTAATTAAAGACTAAATTTCTATTTTTATTTTTTATCAAAGACAAAGATTGATTAGTTGAAATTAGAGATGTAGGGAATTAAAGTCATGGTTTGCAACAATTCAATTGAAACTCTAGATCCAATAACAAAGGAACAAAACATGGTTAACGCAAGCACTTTTTTTTGGGGTACAATAATGCATAGAACTTGGGGGGCATGGGTTATGATTAATGCAACCGGCCCAATCCATTAGAACTCTCACAATTGGCCCAATTGACCCAATGAAGTTTTCCACCCATCATCGTACTCAGCTCATGGGTTGTGGTTATTGGTTAAAGCAGCCGGCCCAAACCCTCTGTCATTGCTAGAAGTGGTCTATCAGGAGCCTGTGGCCTGGCCTATTTAACTATCAGAACAGGCTTGAGCCTGTAAAAAGACATATTTATCTTATTAGGCCAGGCTCAGGCCTGATAATAAACCTGTTAGGCCTGTCAGGTGACCTAAGCTTTTTTTTTTTTTTAGGTTAAAATTGTAAATTTACAAGTGTTAGAAATTTGAAACACTTATTTGTAGTAGGGATTGGTTTCGCAATAAATATGGTTTGAAAAAGAAATCAAAGGTACAAATTTTGAATTCTAAAAATAATACCATTTCTTATATTTATTAGTTATTAAATTTTGTTATAATCAAATATATATTTGATTTTTTCTTCTCAGGTGTTTGAACAAGAAGAAAAAATTGTGTTGAAGATTTAATGTTTTGCTGTTTGATGATTTGTTGTAATTGTAACAAGAACAATTGTGTTAATTTGATTATTTTATATTTTTTGTTTGTATTTCGGATAATTTGGATTAAGTTATTGTAATTTTGAATTGACTCATGTATGTTTACAATTTGTTAAAAATACACGCTTCTTAACAGGGCAAGCTTGATTACAGGCCAGGTCCAGCCCAAATAAAAGGCTTTTCATAGACCATAGGTTAGGCTCAGGCCAACAGGTCTCACCACAGGCTTGGCCTGTTAAGGGTGAGGCCTAGTCTAACCTGACCTGTTTCTACCCCTAATCATTACTTAGATTGTTACATCTTCAATTTTTTTTCTCTTTAAAAAAAAATTAATAAGGAAGGGGGGCATTTCAATATTTTGTTTCCAGGTAAAAAAACATATTTTGTTATATATTATTTATAATGCATCTTAATTAAATGAGTCCAACCTATGATTTCTCGAAAAGAAAAAATAATAGCGAAGGAGTTTCAATCAATGTTTTAAAAGCCAGACTGGACATCAAACCGGAAAGATCAACAGGTCACGGTTTAAACGATTGGATCGGTCAGACCGATGGTCGGACCGGTTACATAATAATTAAATAAAAATAATATTATATACATATATAATAATACAAGTACAACAGATACATAAAAAATTAAGAATAAAACATCAAAAAATGTAATATAATTACCATTACAATATGCTTCGCCCATATATACATGTCCATATATCAACCGTCAAGTAAAAAAATATTAAAATATTAGTTTAGCTTCAGCCTACTCCCTGCCCCAATCTGGTGTTGCCTGACAAATAGTCTAATCAACTTTAATCTCTCACACTATTTCAATTCACATATTCTGACCCCGTTCAATTTTTTATTTTTGCTTCTCACACCTTTTTTTACCATCAGCCTCCTAACTTCTTCTTCTTTATCTCTCACATTCTCGTTGCTGTTAGCTTCTTGGTCATTGTATTTCATTCAACTTGGATTTTGAAACAAAGAAACACACATCAGACGACTGACAGACGAGCAGGGACTGGAGGAGCTGGACCAAGACACGGCCACAAACCTTCATCCATCTCCTTCTCGATTTTTTTTTCTGGTTTTTCTTCACCCATTTCCCTCTACAAGTTTAGCCGTCCGGTTCTTACAGATCCGTTCCGATTTCCGGCTTAAAAGCGGGTTCCGGTCAGAAAGCTGCTTTTCTCCGGTTCAAAACGGTCTAATATGAAAAACGGCTCCCACTGAAAAACCGAGCCGTGGCTGAGTCCGGCCGACGGTCTGACCGGTCGGACCGTCCGGTCCGGCTCAGGTTTCTAAACATTGGTTTCAATAAATGTCTTATGTCATAAATTTTCAAAAAAACAAAATATGACCCGCTTCTTTATATATATATATATATATATATATATATATATAAAGCTAAAAAATCTCTTGCTATACAAAGTATGTAACATTATTCAATTATATGTAAATATCTTTCTTTTTGTAAATAATTTAAGGTAGTCTAATAACCTGCTCAAAAGTTTAGATCTTGATCTAAAGGAGGCTGTAACTTTAAGCAATAAATTTTGTTACGAGAAATTTGTTAGTAATTTTCCTTACATACTATTTCCGGTCTTTAATAAAAGATTAATTTGAACAGATTAAGAATATTAGTTAAATTAATTATTTGTAATAAATATGTGTTTTTTCTAAAATATCATTGATATTAATAAATTATATTGGCTAGAAATATCATGATTATAATGATTATTTAAAAAAATAAATAAATATGAGAGATAAAATGAATTAAAATTTTATATTTAAGACTAAAATAAAATTTTAAAAAAATTTTATATTAAAAACGGGAGATAATATATTCCAAATAGACTAATAAAGAAAGAAAGATTAAAATCTCAGGCGGTGGCGGTATGGTAGTTGCACCTGCATGGGTTGTAACGCCTAAATCCTACGGAGGGTTGCCCCCATTTTCATTCCCTTCCTCTGTTCGAGTTACTACGATGATGCCTTCTCTGATCTTCAATCCTATGTCATTTCATCTCCACCACCCAACACCTTCTGTCCAGATTATCCACCGACCTTTGAAGCCCCCGCCGGCTCTCCGATCAGTTATCCCGGTGAGGAGCTTCGCTTCCGCGCCAGGTTTTGACCTCAAAGCTGGGAAAGGGTAATTGCGATTTCCACTGACATGTGCTATTCATTATTCTCTGTGTCATCAACTTCATTGCTCATGGAGCGGAATTTGAAATTGAAGTTAGGAACTTGGGGTCAAAAAGCTTATAAGGGATGAAATATAAACTTCCTTGCGATGGCAACCGAACTTGTACGGTAGCATTTTATGTTGAAGTCTGGAACTTCAAATTGAAGCTTATCTGTTCCCATTGATGGCCTGCGGCTAAATTTTATTTCACCCTCTTGGCTTGCCCTTCCATATGCAATTTTGCATACAGGGAGGGTTTCTGACGTTTGGTAGAGCGGAATTGGTAGGATTATGTTAATTTCTATCGGTAACCTACTAACCTGGAAATAAAATCATTGTATAATACGCATATACAGGGATAAAGTAATATCTTTTTGTGAGAAACTTCAGATACTTGGATTTACTTTGGAATATTTGTTCGCACAGTCTTGATTAGAATTATAATAGAAATTTTGAAAACTTAGGGAAGCCTTGGAGCCTCTAGGTGGACACTGGACAGCATTGTAGTCCGTGCATTCATTAACACTGCGTTAGTTCATTAAGTTGACTGAAATGGAATTCAGTCAATCTTTGGATCATTCATAATTTTCTTCTTACAAGTTTGTGGTCATACACGTGCTGTAATATGCCATTCAGGCTCTGCTCATACTGTTGCTTGTAATTTTGCAGAATGGGTGGGTTCTTTGATGTTGAACTTAAAGTCCGTGATTATGAACTGGATCAGTATGGAGTGGTCAACAATGCTGTTTATGCAAGTTATTGCCAACATAGTGAGACTTCATGAGCTTATGTATTTCAGTTGCCGGCACCGTGAACAGTTTCTCTTACTGAATTATTATCTTTGAACATAAGTTATCTCAGGAGATACTTTTTAATTATCTGAATTCTGAGTACTTGTCATAAATGATATATGACAATATTTTATATTTGATTCACAACTACACTTGAAATGTAAAACAAATAACATATGTTAATTAATGAAGATTGAAGACCATGTTGCTGTATTTTCTTAATATTTATAGTTCTAGATTCATTGTAAATTATGATGACAGAAACTGTAAGGCTTACTTCCTAGCTTAAATCCGTAAATTGATTGCTTGTCTATCAATTTGCTGCTCAGGTCGTCATGAACTCTTAGAAAGCATTGGTATTAGTGCTGATGCTGTGGCCCGTAGCGGTGATGCATTGGCACTGTCAGAATTGTCACTTAAATTCCTTGCTCCTCTAAGAGTAAGCCTTTAATACCCTGTTTCAACTTCTTGGTCGTTACTTGTTCTGTTGTTGGGTAAATATCTTGTTGATATATGGAAGCACATACACGCATATGATGGCTTATGCAAGGATGGTTCTATTTACTGATATTTGATTTCATTCTAAGAACGTGCAAACAGAGTGGAGATAAATTTGTTGTAAGGGTTAGAATTTCGGGTTCTTCAGCTGCTCGATTGTACTTTGATCATTTCATCTTCAAGCTGCCAAGCCTAGAGGTTAATATCTGTCGCTTATACTGTAATCTTTCTCTCCAACTTCTTTATAGTTTCTCTTAATATTTTCTGAATTTGATGGCAGCCTATTTTGGAAGCCAAGGGTACTGCTGTGTGGCTTGACAAAAATTACCGTCCTGTTCGTATTCCATCAGAGATGAAGTCTAAATTTGTGCAATTTCTTCGTAATGAGGACTCTTAGATTAATTCTGCTTCCAAAAACAATATTAATGACGGCATTTTTATTATGAAAATATTCAGGAAGATAATTAGTGGTATGCATCACTTCGATTCCTCCTGGGGATTGGGAAGAGAATGTGATGGCTGATGGCTCTATGATACAAGTCCAGCAAACCGATCTCAAAAAATATAAAATATCCGAGATGCACAGTACTAAACCAATATATCTGAAGTATTTTACGTGTCGATTGATTGATGTATATCCATGAAGGCCACTGCCAATGCATCCATTGGTATAGAAATTTGAAGAGAACAAAAAATGTGTTTTTCCCTTTTTCTGAATCCTTAAATGCTCATCAGTTGCCGTAGTCTTTTACTTGGGCGGAAGAAATTAGAGGTTTTGAGTGTTGTGGCTGGTCCCTTTACTCTGTACCTGGTTTGTTTTGGTGATACTTGAGAACTTCTTCTGGTGGAGAGTAATAGCAAGTTGTTCTGTCATGAGCTCCAAGACGAATGAAGTAGCAGTTTTGGAAATTTAAACTTCCTGATGATCAAACTCAAATGAAGTGCTTTTTAGCTGTTGATTAATGTAGTTCCAAACTGGTTGTAGTGGTTACTTCTTATTCTTACTATCTCCAGTTCTAATTATAAGATCTTGTTTGTAGATTACAAACGAGGTCTTATAATTAGGACTGGAGGTAGTATTAAGGCTTCTTTAGTTTATATATATGAAGTTCATTTACCAAGTAACCGATGTATGATGAATTTTTTCAAAAATCTGGAATTAAAACATATGATTGAAAGAACTTTCTTTCCGTATAATGTTTTATTTAAAACCCATGATCACTTATCCTTTAGATTAGGTGGGTCCCTGTTAAAACTTTGTTATGTAATTATTAATTAAATATTTTTATTTATTTGGTTTTTTTGGTGACATGAAAGAATTCGATGTGATCAAATTACATCAGACACACTGGCCCAACAATCAATGCATCAGGCCTTCTAAGTGGCTGTACAACTTTACCCATTAGTGCCGAAAGCAAGACACTGATGCGGGATTTTTGCTTATCATCAGAATATTACGCAATTTATATTATCTTCAATGCATATAATGTAAGTGTGGCCTGGAGGGAACATGGAAAAAAAAACCTCATAGTTGGATTCTTGGATTAGGCATAAAGGACCTGACACCCGAGTTTTCTTGAACAAGGTCGACAAATATATTAATATGAGAAGAGAATATATGATCCTTAAATAAAATAAAATACTATTAGTTTATTTAATTTATACTGTTTTGATTGGAATTTGGAAAGGATGTGAAAAGCAAAACACAGTGGAGGACCTGTCGACTTTTTAAATACCAAAACTTGAAGGCCAATGCCCAATCAAACTAAATCGATTGAATTGGAACTTGGAAGATGCGGGACACCAAAACCAGCATTACTAATGGTCTTCTTTACCGCCTTTCAGCCAGCTGAGTTTCTTTGTATAGTTCAGGCGACAGATTTGAATTATTAAATATTATTTGATTAAACCCAAATCCAAAAATCTAAAAGAACCCGAACTTTATGATACGCAGTAACAAAGTCGTGCACGGCATGCATTGAATCAGCAGCGTCACAAGAAAACAAATGACACATCATTCACAGATAAAGAAGTGGGTCGTGAGTTTGACAGTTGGAGAAGAATGGTAGATATGAGAACCTCCACTAGAATTTAGGCCCTGTTTGTTACGTGGTACAATCACAAGCTCATAGACACAGAAAGAGAGATGGAAGAAGGCGGAGGAGAGAAGAAGAAGGTGATGGTGGGAATTGATGAGAGTGAATGTAGCAGATACGCTCTTGAATGGACTCTGCAAAACCTGGCTCATACCCTTGCAGATTCTAAGCTCATCATCTTCTCTGCTCAACCCATTGACGATCTTGGTTATGCTTACGCTTCCTCCCTCGGTGCTGCCCGTACGTTTCTCTTCTTCCACGCTTCTGATTTCTCCTTCAATTAAATATACAAAAAAATTATTATTCAGAAATTTGTCAATAACTATCATTTTTTAGCCTTCTTTCATTTCCTCTCCAACCTACTTTCTTACTTCTGCCTTTGTTTTGCAGCTCCCGAGTTGATACAGTCCTTGCAGGAAAACCGAAAGAAGCTCACTTTGGCTTTGTTGCAGAAAGCTAAGGAAATCTGTGATCAACATGGGGTATGCTTGCCTCCCTTTTTTTGTTAACAACATCATACAAATTCAGGTTTTTGATCAAACCCGTTGATAAAAGTGATGTCATCACTTCTTAGGCATTATTAAAAACATGGTTGGTTCCCGCTGTTCCAAAAAGCTGATGTGCCTTTGGATTCATATAAGTTTTCTTATGCTTTGGTTCTGATTGTTGTGGATGCTTAGTTTCTGCAAGAATAGTGTTCAATGTATGGATGTCAGGCTGGTTATATTGTGGACAAGGAATGGAATTGTGTTCAAGCTCCTAATTCAATATGGATTTAATAAAGAAGAGCAAAACCATTTGTGTGCAGTGCATATGAGCATAGGATCTCATGTCTTGTTTCCGTAGATTGATGCAGAGACACTCACAGAAACTGGAAATCCTAAAGAAGCAATATGTGAAGCAGTGGAGAAACTGAAAGTCCAATTACTTGTGCTTGGCAGTCATGGCAAGGGATCCCTACAGAGGTTCTCAAATTTCGTTTTGTTTCACTCGTTTTTGTCAGTCAATCGCATAATATACTACGTTTATAGTAATTTATGCGCGAAAAGAATTTAGAGAAATTCCTGTAACATTCTTCAGGATGCTGGAAAAAACTGATGAGGATATATCATATCTTCAACGGTCATTATATGCTTTTATCTTCTGCTTATGAAGAGTAGAAAATTGACAGAACTCTCAGAAATTCATTCATGCATGAGGCACAGTAATCGCACATGCAAGAAATAATCTCCCAGATAAATTATTATAGTTACTGTGATTCAACTTGTGCCTTTATTCACATCTAGAAAGCTGGTCATTATTCTATCTTGAGATAGAAAATAATGATGATGATATCTTCTTGGAACAGGGCGTTTCTGGGAAGCGTTAGCAACTATTGTGTTCATCATGCCAAGTGTCCTGTTCTCGTCGTAAAGAAAAAAGCTTCATGAAGGAGTGACTACTTCATATATATATATATATATATGAATGTATGTATAAGGGGAAACTGTGCAGACATTGCTTGAGCATATTTTACTTTACCCTAGCGTGAATTATTCTTTCTGATAAACTGTTTGTATGTCCAAGTCAACTTTTGGTTTTTAAGTCAAATGTACGTGTTGCTCTGTTATTTGGCTTCTACTTATATTTCTTAGCCGCAAGAAATACATAATGAAGAATATACTCATCATTATAAACAAAGATAACCCAAGAACAGGTCTGAATTGCCCACTCGTAAAATTCAAACTTCAATCCAAAAATTGGCTTGTGAACTTCATATTTTTCTGCTAGTGCCTGCAAGGAGTCTAGTTCTTGTTCACACGGGGCTGTCACACAAAATATGAGTAACTATCTTCGTAAAGCCTATTGCACTGCCCTTGTAGTAAAGAAATCAAAATGATATTTCCTATATCGCCATGCTAGCATGAGATGCCACGTCTCAATTTTGTCATGCTAGTTCGTGTGGGATAGCGTATAACTCTTATTTTCAAGTAATGATGCTTTATAATTCTTTGTTTTCTATTAAATTTGTATCAGCTCAAAGTCAGCTAATCCAAACACAAAAGAAGAAATTAAGTATTTGAGCTTAAAAAGCACGGATATGTGACTCCTATTTTGAAGTATCGACGCGTCATAAGATTTGAGCCTAGAAATACAAGAAATCTGAATCTGTTAAGCAAACTGGTTGGCTAATCTCAGGGAATCGAAGACGGACAGTCAAGTTAAGCGCGAGAATAACAGTAGTATAGATGTAGAACATGCATACATACACAAGAAACCTGAGCTAGAAATTTTTCATTCCCCAGGAATAATAGATCTCTTTCATGTTTCGATAGATTACAGCAAAGTTGCTATTTCAGCTAAAAATACGATTTAGTGTGGCTGCCAAACGAACTCCTCCTTGAGCTAACCTCAGATTTACTGTTGGCAAACGAGATGAGAAGTAATCATCTGCAGAGTTTTAAGATTTCATGGAAGGGTTAAAGAAATAGAAAAAAATGTTATGACAGAAACTTTTAACATTCAAAACCTCTAATGGCTTACCTCCAAGTACTGAGTTTTCAGAGACATCTTTGTATGCCCATTCGCATGCTGCTTTGATGCTTTCTGATGCATATCTTAGCAGAGAAACAGATGTCAGGAATTTTCTTCTTGCAGAATTTTCCAGGTAGTAAATAACAATGTATGTCAGATGTTTAACATGTTTATTTGTCTTGTTATAATTTGCTTGGTCCTTTTTTTCAAAGATCAAGTCTAGTTAAACGTACATATTTGGGCATGTGGTCTTGCTATCATTACAGGTCTCCCAGTCTCTTACTTGATCAGACCATTCTTTCTGTTCAAGGAAAAAATGTTGGTTAATATCAAACTTTCTTGTTTTATTGTTTGAATGATGATAACAACAAAATCCACTGCAAAAATACCGTAATATTCTGCTGAATTGCATCAATGAAACCATCCATGTTAGAGTCGTAGAATCTTTGCTCTGCTGTCTCTATTATGTTATCATCCCAAACCTATATATGGTATTGAATTGGTGCAAGGTATTAATTATAAGTTCATATGAGTAAAACTGCATAACTATAAACTCTATTATTCATCATCACTTCTGTATCTGTTAACGGAAGAATAACTTTTATATATGTACATATATAAATTTCAGAGAAAGTAAATTTGAAAAGACTGTATATATGGTTAATGAACTGACATGATGAAGATTAGTCTTTCTGGTGAACCAGTGAACATCAATTGTATTGCCACCCCTATCTGAAGTAAAGCCCACATGGAGAGGCTGCAAATTAAGCATCATAATCAAATTGCTATTTCAGATATCAGGATATGGCTGATGATTGGTTCAGAGATTGCATTCTGTCGACATATACACACACACACACACACACACATACCTGATGTATATCTCCCATGAAATGAGAAAGGAATAGAAGTGCCTGGGTGAGGTTATCTGACACAATGACATTGTCAATCATATTCCAAACGGAAATTTGGTTAGCCAATAGAGAGAACCAGGCCGGCCCATTAGTATATATGGCCCAACTTAATGGGCTGATGATATCAATTTGGGCTTGACAAAAGTGTTTAAATTGAAGGCCATTGGTATGATATAAGTGTTTAAATTCAGAGTTTAAATCAGGGCTCACATTGTGAATCTGAATCGCTGCCATAGCTGAGGAGCTGGTTGGTGTAATTGTTGATGGCTCCTGCAACACATCTTCCCTTGAGTCCATCCTCATCCTTGCAATCCCCTGAATGAATGGTCAACAACTGGTAAATACCACACCAGATTATCATCACATCATACCCTCAAGATTAACTGGCTTTCTCAGGGCAAACTGTCGTCATGCACAAAAATACCAGAAATAAATAAACATAGCCAATCGCCTTGCAAGCTAATGGCATGAGAGCTCTCTATAAGTGAAAAGTTACGGATTCAATTTTACTTGTAACCTCAAACCATTACTGTGTATCCTTTTAATTCAAAAAAAAGGAACAAATAAACATAGAAATTACGAAACCAGAAGAAATAGGAGAAGGATCTTACTGTTGTACTGGTAATTGCAAATGTTGTCAGGAGTATCAATGTAATGCAAGGCAGATGACCAGGGAAAGATGAACTTAACATGATCTGCCCATGAGCAGACACTCCCCAAATCATTTTTTGCATATTTTGGCAGCAGATCCTGCACGGCTTCCGCAGCCGCCTTGTTCAGCCGGGGCTGTTCAAAAGAATCACAGGTAAAGAACGCCATATATATACAATCCATAAACACAAGATATATCAAGCAAGTTTCGATTTTGAGACAAGAAACTGAGATAGGGAAAGAGAATTAGGTACCTGAGCGATCTTACAGATAATGGCGTGCCCATCTTCTCCCCAGGCTATGGTGGTGCTTGGAAATAGAAGCACCAGTGACACTACGGCCGCTAAGTGGATTCTGCAAAACTCCATAATATGTGATTCTCTTGGAAATCAAACAAAGCTCAATATCTCTGTGAGGTTTTATGGGGCAATATAATTAATGCGAGTAAAGCAAAGAGGGCTAGTGTGAACTGTGTGAACGAGAGAATACCGTCGTTCAGCTTTAGAGAGCTGTATATATAACTCTCAGAGGCGAATCATGGCAAAGGCTGATATCACAATCTTTTCTTCTCACGTTGAAAACTCTATAATGACCATAATGACCCTTATACAACTGTGTGTCGCCAGTATTTGCACGCTTCCTGCAAGCCAAATAAATTTTTTTAATTGTTTTCATATTTGTTTAAATAAAGCCTACTATGAAAAAATATATTGAACTTTAAAAATAATGTTAGAGAATAAAAATGGTAAATTACAAATGCCTTTCAATACATTAAGTATATAACTCCAAATATATACTGGCAAAAAAATATGAGTGTTCTTTTTTAAGCAAGCCTTTTCTTTTGTTATTAGATGCATGAATCTCTTCTATTCGTTTTTTGCATTTGAATCCGAAATCTGGCTTGAAAAAGACAACAGAACCGTAAAGGCGTAAAAGAAAAGAAATTTGAATATTGAAATGGACTCAGAGGAATAAAGTTAATTGATTCTCAGGAGCATAATTTGAGGGAATTAATGCATTCAATTGGAGTCTTTGAATGCTAGAAATGACTTTGAACTTGAAAATTGAAAAATGCAAGTGATGAAAGCCATCTTGCAATGCCAATTAATGGCTTTTGACCAAAACAAGTAAATATAATCCTTCCTATTTGAAAGATTCTCTTTTCCTAATCACTGTATTTCCGTTTAGCATGAAGCATTAAAAATATGGTGTAAAAATTGACATTCAGATTAAAAAAATTTATTAAAAAAGTATTTAACATAGAATATTTCTTATTATATGAGATTGGACACACCCATGTATGTGAAATTAGAGAATACCTCTTCTTACCTCAATGGATTTGTCTAATCTCATATAACAAGTAATTACTCATATTAAATATTTTTTTAATAATTTTTCTTAATTACAATCCCAGTTTTTATCTCTCATTTTTAATGATTCATACTAAATGAGATTTTTGGTCACTGTTTAGGGTGCGTGCACATCCATAGGCCTTGGTTACACACACTAACACGCATATATACATCAGTATATATTGGAGTCTCTTTTAAAAAAAAAAAAAAGTCAAGGAAACACCGAAGGGAGTACTCTTAAAAAAAAAAAAGAAAAAAAAAAGTAAGGACATAGTTAATAATTTATTAAAAAAGCTTATTTTTTATAAAGTTAAAATGACATCTGATAAGACTTATTGTAATTATTATATGTATCAAGATACACATATATAAGCATAGCTAGGCTTGTTTTCATACCTTCCAGTTTCAGTAACTTTATCTTTCTTAAGAATCTAGGGGCAAGATGACTAGTGAAGAGATTATTTACAAATTAAAAATAATTAGTGTCACAAATTATTCTCCTTTGCCTTGCAAAAACTACTCGAAAAGGACACCATCGTGAATAAAGTATACGGTGCGCATTTTTTATAGTTGGTGTTTAATAAGAATGAAGTAAAATACTAACCAATCAGGTGAAATTTAAAGTTAAAAAAAAAACGCGAAGAATGCTCAAGGCATATTCCTAAGTGGATTGATCAAATGTTTAAGGAATATTCCTAAATGGATTCACAAAATATTTCTTTTTGAATATGCCAAGACATTAAATTTAATCTCGAAACGAATTGACATCCATAAATTTCTAGAATATAATGAGTCAAGATTTTTCACAAATAGTAGTTATAAGAAAGAAAAAAAACTAAGTTGACCACGGAGTTCAAAGTTAAATCAGACGATTAATAGCATAACTTGTGATTTATAGATTATTGATACTACCTCCAATCCTTAATATAAGATCTTGTTTGAATTTTATTTTAGTCCTAAATATAAGACCACAATCTACTTTATCTTTCATATTGATGTATTTTTTTTCCTAAAATAATCCTTCTAACAAAAGTAGTTCTAGCCAATACACTTGATTAGTAAGGATATTTTAGGAAAGACAACACCTATTTGTTACAAATAACTAGCTTAACTTATTTTTTTAATCTTCTCAGATTAGTCAACTAACTCTTATAATTAGGATCGGAGGTAATATTTAACTAAGATGATAATTATTTTAAAAGAATTTTAACAATTATTTTTTCAAAGAATCAGGGAGTCTGGGTGCGATTGAAGCTCAAGCCCAATCCAGTCGAGGCCCAAAAAACTGTTTTTGTCGGAATTGGGCCTCGTCTAAGTCACCTTTAGCCCAAATACAATTAGTTGAAAGTTTTGGATTTTTTTTGTTTTGCTATACTTTATAATGGACACACATAACCTCTCCAGCCTTTAAAACTTTATAGGTACGTTGATTTAAAAAATTTAGGGAATTAGCAACGGGGGTTGGTCCGAGTGGTAAGCGGCTCGGTTACGCTTAAGTGAAATCTTGAGTTCGATTCCTCATAGATGCAAAAAACCCCCGCTGGGATACTCACCCACCATACCCAGGTGCGCGACGTGGGTCGGATCCGGATGTAGTCAGGGCAAAGCTCTGGTGAACCGGGTGGGAACCAAAAAAAAAATTTAGGGAATTCATTATTAATCTTTAAATATTAAAAAAATTATTTGTGCATGTACGTAAATTTAAGAAATTTTATATAATTAATTTTTTTAAAAAAAATAAAACATGCAACAGAATCGAAAAGATTGGTAGCATAATCGTCACATATAAACTATAAGTGAGAATTGAAAAGGGGGTCATACTAGGAAGGTGGTTCTAGAATGTCATTTTGGATGGCGATGTTGCGTTACGATTAAGTAATTAATAGAGGTACGTAACGATAAACTAAGAAGCAAAAAGCAATAATTACGAGTTGAATCATAAATTGACACTACTGGGTTTGTCCCTAAATATAAATCTATAAGATTTCTTAGCCATCAAACCCGCCATAACAAGGTATTGTCAATATACATTTCCTTTCCTTTTCTGTGCTAATTGCGTTGCATGGGCTCTATTATTGCATTGCCTTCTCTGACGGTGGTGTATATATAATATGATGTCCAATTGTAGCTCAATTTTGCAAAAACACACATGTGTACGCACATAACCAAATCATAGAGTTTTGGAAGTACTGTGTCAAGTGAAAGTAATTTGATTCTCTTTGTATAAGATTAAGAGTTCAAGTCTTATAAAAAAAAATTTTTTAAACTCTCTTTCTTTAATTAACCATTATGATACTTAATTTTTTTTTGTCATAACTCACACACGTTATATTCATAAAATGATTAAACTAGCAACCTAACCTTATGTGGGGAGGCTTAAAAAAGATTTGATATTATGTGAGATAACACGTAAATTTGACTCATAGTACTATCAATTAGTTGTATCAAAAATAATATAACAAATCATGACATGACTGAAAAAACTTACTTTTTTTTTTTTTGCTTATAAATGTTTTTTATTAGAAACAATCATATTTAAATAAATTGAAGCAAAATTTAGATATGAATTCACTATAATGTAGAAACTAGTTTTTTTTTTTTTTTTACTAAACGTTACTCTTATAGATGACTCTAAAGACATACCTGATGAATGGAAAAATATACTCTTCTAATTTAAATATAAGACTTTTATATATATTAATATAATGATGTTATATTTAAGATCGGAAGAATACTTTGAAGCTGCGGTGTTAAATTGGATTGAGGCTAGTAAATCGAATTGACTAACAAGGCGTTTCATTGAATGGGGGAAGATTCTGGTTGAGGCGTTTCAGGCCCTCATGTTAGGATCAGCAATTAGATTTACAACTTCCCGGGAAAGCGAGGGTGATGTGATTTTTGCCAGTTTGTGATAGGGTAATTAATGAAGGAGGCGTAAAATGGTTGGACTTGGAGCCTCGTTGATGATAACTCTCCTCTTTGTCAAAACTTGTTAGGCCACGCGCCCAAAATGGCAGCTGTCCTTTGACCGCGTCACCGTCCTTACTGGGGAAGGAAGCATCCATCTAGATTAGGCAAAAGCGTATAATTATGATTCACTCGGCATCAAAGATTGGCCATGTGTGTGTGTGTGTGTTTGTGTGTGGCACCACCATTTGCTTCAGATTTTTGTATTTATTTGTAAGTTTTAGCCTTCAGTAATCTCAATTCTCAACAGTTAATTGGTATTATTCTTTTTTTTTTAAAATCACTTTGAGCATCTCACCAAAATGCTGGTATTATTTTCAACTGTCTTAAAATTAACGAAAAGTTTTAAATTTATTCGTATTAATTGCATGAGTGAAAAGCTGATAAGACCTAAACCATATATTGAATAGGAGAGAGCCAGAAAAGAACAATAAATAATGGATTAAGTGTGTTATGAAGAGAATTAAAAATTTTCTCGAAATTTGATTGGAGGAAGTATGTTAAAAGACCAACAAAAATGGATAAACCATTTGTATGATATGATTATTTTCAATTTTTTTTAAAAAATTACTAATATGTAATACTGCTTCAGTTATTTAATATAAAAACTAGATAAAAATTTAATTTAATTTAAATACAAGATTTCATTTACTTTATCTCTAATATTTATATATTTTGCTCTCAAGTAATTCTTATAGTGATTTCTTTGTTAATAAGTTTTTATTAAGATGTTGTTTTAATATACATAATTGATATGAGTATTATAAAAAAAACATATGTTTATTACAAATAATTAATTTAACTAATTTTTTTAATATTTATATTAAAAAAGATAATATTTAACTTTTATATTGAACACGAGTTAATATATATTAATTAATTGAGCGATGTAACAGTGGAATTAGTGGGAATGAAAGCACAGCATAAGGGCATTGGCAGGCAGGAGCGCACTTGAGGCTGAAGCAACTTTTGATGATTGTGTGGGGGGTTGACCCACATGTCAACACATCACATGCCCAGATTTATGTTTCCCGGCAAATCTCTCCCCA